TTTTTTTTCTTTCTTTTTTCTAGTATTTTCCCTTAATTTTAAGCAAAGTTTCTTGTGAACGTGTCCACTTATTTTTTGAAGCTAAGGTAAAACAAGGGAAGCATTTCTGACCCAGCTTGGGTTAGAGGTTTAAGATAACGTGCATGGCCCTGGGCTGGCCCAGTGAGGGAGCCCAAAAGTCCTTGGGGTGAAGATTGGAACCCACTTAAATGATGGAGATGGTCCTTTCAGAACCTTTTGTTTAATTGCTCCTGCTTCAGAAGATTTTATCTTCTTTTCTCTTTAACAAATGAGGCTGTTCCAGTCCACTGATCAGATTGACAACACCTATTTCCAATACTGTATGTGTTGGCCTGAAAACCCATCCCAGCTTTTGGGCCAGAACAGGGGAACTGTCATGCTTTCTTCTTCTTTTCTTGGCTCTACTTCCCCCAAAAAACAAACACTCCTGACCTCAGAGCAGATGCCACCATGAGGTCAGAAGAAGAAAGGCCTGCATCTGCATTGTCCAGTATGGGCCTCTATGCACATGTGGCCATTTAAATTTAAAATGAAATTCATTAAAATTAAATAAAATAAAAAACTTAGTTCCCAAGACTCACTAGCCCCATTTCAAGTACTCAGTAGTCATATATGGCTGGTGGCTACTATATTAGATACTGTGTAACATTTGCATCATTGCAGAAAGTTCTATCAGACAGACAGGTCTAGATCCTTGTGCATAGCCCTGGATGGGCTAGGGGGCTGGCGATAGGATTCAAAAGTTGTCTTCACCCACAGAATCCTCTCTTCAATGACAAGTGACTCTGGGCTTGTACAGTTTTCCTGCGCAGCCAGCAAAGTAGTGATGATGACGATGGTGGTGATACTAGTAACTCATACTTATTTAGTGATTATCATGTGCCAAACAGTGTGTTAAGGGTTTTAAATATATATTATATTATTTAATTACCACCACAACCATGAGGAAGACACTTGTTATCGTCTCCATTTTAACAATGCAGAAATTGAGGCTCAGAGAAATTAAGCGATCACACAACTATTAGGTTATACCACGTGACATTGCCAGTATTCATCCATTTTTAATGAAAATTGCTACTTTATATGGCTCAACCTCATAGTAAATGGTAGAGCCAGGTTTGAAACCTAGATCCAAAGACCATGTCAAGTTTAATGTGGCTGAGCTTTTGTGAGTGACCACCTTGGAACCTATTTCATAGGGCTCTTGAGGGATCAAATGAAATAATGTTGATTCTGTGCCTGGCGCGGCTCAGGAAATGTTCTTTTTGTTCTAACTTCCTTCCATCTGTCAGACTTGCTGGCTGGGGAGGCAGTGCACAGCTGTGTGAGCAGATGTGGACGGTGAGATCGGGAGGAGAGGGCCTGCTGCCATTTACTAGATACCCTCTCAGGGACCTGGAAAAGTCCATCTTTGTCATCAAGACCTCTCCAGACCCTTCCCCCTACCGGTCCCCAATCCTTTCGGTCAGGGAGTCTCTTCTGCTGGGCAGAGCTGGGTCAGTCTCTGTGGACCCTGAGCAAAGGGAGGGGTGATAAACATTAGCCCTTTCTATTCCCCTGCCTCTTAACAGCCCTGGCAGATGCACTTCATCAACAAAGCCCTCTCCTCAGAGCCTGCGGAAGGAGCAGGAAGCCTGGAGGTGAAGGGGCAGAAGTGACTGCTGCAGTTACGTGTGTCAGGTTATATAAGCTGTGCTGTGGACCTCCTGCACAACCTAACTGTTTGCATGATTGTATCTGGCAAGGAGGCTGATTTGAAATTCCTCCCTCTTTTATTTGGCAAGAGAGGAGAGAAGTCTCCCTAGGCTGAGGGTCCTGCTGTTTAGGTGGAGTTTTAGGGCTTGCAAGTAATTTCCATCTGTATGAGGAAACTTTGTATCTCAAAGAAAATAGTATAGGATTGCCAGATTTAGCAAATAAAAATATAGGACACCCAGTTAAATTTGATTTTCCTGATCAACAACAATTTCTTAGTAGAAGTATGTACCATCCAATATGTGGGACATGCTTCTACAAAAAATTATTTATTATTTATCTGAAATTTAAATCTACCTGGTGCTATGATTTGAATGTGTCCCCACCAAAATTCAGATGTTACCAAAGTGATATTAAGAGGTAGGGCCTTTAAGAGGTGATAAGCCATGAGGACTCCTCCCTGGTGAATAGGATTAAGGCTCTTATAAAGGAGGCTTCAGGCAGCCTTCTGCCATGTGAGGACACAGTGTCCTCCCCTCTGGAGGACACAAACGTAAGGCACCATCCTGGAAGCAGAGAGCAGCCCTTCCTATAGGTGCCTTGACCTAAGGTTTCCAAGCCTCCAGAACTGTGAGAAATAAGTTTCTGTTCCTTATAAATTACCTAGTAATTATTATTACTGTACATTATTATTACTGTATTATTACTGTAATACATATATTATTACTGTAATTATTATACAGTAGCAGTCTGTATAGCAGCACAGAACAGACTGAGACACCTTGGCAGCCTGTATTTTGTCTAGCAACCTTACAACAGTGGGGATCTGTCCATCCTTCAGATGTCCAGTCATTTATGGTGTTAAGAACGCTTGGGAGTAAGGGGGAGGGAGCGTGAGATCTACTTTTGTCAGCTGCAGCCTAGTTTCCCAATCACAGTGCCTCACGGGAGGGGCAGATGAAGTGATTTAGAGCCTTGGCTCTCAAAACGTGTTCCCTGGGGCCGGCAGCATCAGCACCACCTGGAACTTGTTAGAAATGCAAATCCTTCGGCTCCACCCGGGACCTCCTGGCTCAGAACCCTGGGGGTGGGACCCAGCACACAGTGCCTTAACAAGCCTCCAGATGACGCTGATGCAGTTTGAGAACCACAAGTTAGACTTCAAGCCAGAGCTCTGGTGATCAGACAGACCTGAGCTCGAAGCCCGGTCCCACCATTTACTGGACGTGTGAAATTAGCCAAACTACTTAACCTCTCCAAACCTCTGTTTCTTCCTAAATTAAAAAGGAATATAAAATCTTATTTAGGGATGTTATAACGACTAAATGAAGTTATATGCTTTATGTACAACCCACAGTTCTTGTCATTGTAAGACACACAAAAAGATTACTCTTATTTTTACAAAACAAGGGTAGGTCCAGTCATGCCCTGAGACAAATGTGATGGTCAGCGTGGCAAGCTCCAGCTACGGGGGCAATGTCTGTGTGCTCGGTTCAGACAAGACTTCAGTTTTTCAAGACTTCTATTTTCAGTAGTCCTATGCAGGGAGAAAGGAATTAAGAGAAAAGGCTGCAGAGAGAAAAGAGACCAACTTCCTGCGGGTGCTGGTTTTCTGACCCACAGACAGCCCAGAGTGGAGGCCAAATCGATTTAACGCCCCTTGTTCAGGTCCCTTTGCTTGGCCCAGAACAGCTGTCCAAAAGGTAGGGTTTTATTTATTTATTTACTTTCAAGAAAGGAGGCATGAGGTGGTTAAGACAGTGTGGGGTCTCCTTGAAGGGCGGGGGGACTGGTACACTTAGGCATGTTTCGCAGGTCATGTCTGGCAGCTCCTATATTAAGTCTAGACCAGGGATTCTCAGCCTTACTGCTATTGACATTTTGGGTCAGGTAATTCTTTGTCATGGGGGCTTTCCTGTGACTTTCAAGAAAGGAGGCATGAGGTGGTTAAGACAGTGTGGGGGCTCCTTGAAGGGCGGGGGGACTGGTACACTTAGGCATGTTTCGCAGGTCATGTCTGGCAGCTCCTATATTAAGTCTAGACCAGGGATTTTCAGCCTTACTGCTATTGACATTTTGGGTCAGGTAATTCTTTGTCATGGGGGCTTTCCTGTGCATTACAGGATGTTTAGCAGTGTCCCAGGCTGCTACCTATTAGAAGCCAGAAGCCCACCTCATTCTCCCTCACAGCAGTGACGACCAAAAACATCTCTAGACATGGCCATATTTCCCCTGGGAAGCAAAATTGCCTTTGGTTTAGAACCACTGGTCTAGAGAATCTATTAGACAACACCCACTTAATTTTAACAGCTATCACTTATTGAGCTATCACTTATTGAGCATTTACAAATATTATCTCCAATCCTCCCACTCCTATTACAAGGTAGGTGTTATTACTTACATTTTACAATTGAAGAAACTGAGGCTCAGAGGCTTAAAGTAACATGCCCCAAACCCTACAGCTAGTAGATCTGGGATTCTGACTGAGGTTAGTGTAACTACAAAGCTTGTTTGTATGGTTCCTCTACAACACTCTCTCTCTGGGAAATCAAGATTTGTTTTTCTTTAAAGTAAGAAAATTCTTCTCAAGTCAACTCAAGTCCAAAAGTATTTACTGAGCTAGATGCCATGAGAAGCTACAAGAGAAATCCAAGGTGTTGCTCCTCTCAAGCAGTTTTCGGTATCAATGTCTTTGGGAAGGTCAGACTCTCACAGGCAACACAGTTAAAGATCAATACGAGGTGTTATGAGTTTAGGCCAAAATGAGCATTTCTAGAGGTAGAAATTCGTGAACTGAGTGCCTTTTGTGCACGTCTGCTTCACGTGTCCTTTTGCTGCCAATCATGATAATTAAAAAAGAGGGAGCAATGAAGCCTTGAAGTTCACAGGTTCTATCAGCCGCATGTCCTACGAAATATTAATTCTGCTGCTCCGGGGTGGACTGTGAGATGCTTCCAGCCAAACACTCAGCCATCTTCTTTCTGGCTCTCTGCATAAAGTTCACCTTCCCCCTCTCCCTGCGTATGGCGGTATACTCGTAAGCCTTGAGCTTGCTGTAGTAATCAGAGAACTTGTTGTAGAGGATGGAAATGGGCATCCCATTGAGAATGATCCCAAAAGCAATGCAAAGGAAGGCAAAAAGCCTGCCTAGGTGGGTCTCCGGGTACATGTCTCCATAGCCCACGGTGGAGATGCTCACCTGTACAGGACAGAAAAGCAGGGTGACATTGTTAGCACCGTGAGGAAGGAGAAGAAAGGGAGAGAAGCAGGTAGGGAAGTGTCGTCTGTCTCCCTGCAGGAGCACATGGTTAGTGTAAGGGCTCCCCACAGAGGTACCAGAAGTCTGCCCGTGGGACTTGTGTCACAGGAAGAACACAAGCTATGGAGCTGAAAGACTTTGGTTTAAATGCTGACTATAACTCATAAGTGTTCTTATATGGGGGCTATAATACTTACTTTAAAGGGTGTTGTAAAGAGCATTTAAGACACCATATGTTAAGTTCCTAGTGTAGAATGTGCTCGGTAAATGATGGGGGCAGTTTTAAGACTGGGGGTCTAGAGTTGTGTCCATGATGATGTATGTACTGGAAAGGGCTCGGGCTTAGAACCAGTCAGAAGTGGGTTCCAGTCCTGGCTCTGACCCTTCCGAGCCGAGTGACCTTGGACAAAACATTCAGACTCTCTAAGCCCTGGTTTCTTCATCTACAGCTGGAGGATACCACCTAACTCTCAGGATTCTGTGAAGACTAAGTAAAATAAATATAAAGCACTTAACACAGAACCAGATACACGAAAGGCATTAAACAAACTCCTCCACTGTCCTTCTCTTGCCTTGAAAATGGAGACAATTATAATCCTTTTCAGGGCTGCTGTGTAGTGCAAATGAGACATTTTATATGAAGGTGCTTTAATTGCAAATGTCTGGAGAAACACATTCTCATTCTTTTGTGAAGGGACTTTTTAAAGAAATCACTGACCAAAAATATGTTCACTGCTGCATGAAATCCTTCCCCTCACTCTCGTCACACTGCTTTAAATCCCGCTAATTAGAGATTTGTTTAGGTTAACAAGCTTCTGTTTTAAAACACGGATACCCATGGGACTAGTTATCAGTTAGAACAGCCAGAGAAACCCTGGGAATATCCCTTGGAGACTGTTTTTAATGACTCATATATTCTCTTTGGTCCCTGGACTATTGGCTAAATTACTAGAAGTCTTTTAAGCAGGACTGTTGCTTACAGCTATAAAATCTCTGCATTGCACAACTCCAGGGGGCGCTTTGCTTCATAGATTTGCATAGTTGTTGCCACAATTTCCCAGTAGATGGCAATAAACTGTACAAAGTTACCCTGTTGACCCATTCTGAGGTGACCTTCAGCTTAGAAATGTAAACGTTTTCGTTTTGATGTAAGGGTTAGTTTGAACTTAGAATAGTGTGGTTGAGTGACTAGAATGAAATGGAGAACTGAGCCAGCTGGGAAAATCAGGGGGAGCCGATAAGCACCACAGTTCCATCCAGCACATGAAAAGGGAAAGGAAGCACCCCCTCTTTGGGGTGGGTGATGCACCACCACCCATGGTTCCATCTCTGGTAAGAGACCTGCCAAGGGATGTGCTGCCTTTTCCCACAGTGGAAAAGGGTCCATGGGTCTGAATCTACTTCCCAGCTGTGGGAGCTGGGCGAGTCACCTAAATCCTCTCTGCCTCAGTTTCTATTTTTGACCTGTAGGGAGAATAATAGCATCTACCTCACAGAGTTGTTACAGGAACTGGAGGGGCACCTGGCACAGGGCGTGAGCACATATATCAAACAGGCAAGCCCAGGGATCCCTTCTGTTAAAGCTGAAGCCAGCTGAGGGCAGGCACAGGCCAACTTTACCAAGCACATTCTACACCACGGACTTTACATGTGTTATGCTTATTAGGCCTTCAGGCTATGAAAACAGGCTCCTCCCTGACTCCTGCTGAATGCTGGGTGAGGGGGATTTGGTGGGGTACCCTCTGCCTCCAGTAGAAAGTCTCATTTTCCCACCTTCTGGACCAAACGGTGAGGAGAGACAGTGGGAAAGTGAGATCTGGGGCTAATCTCAAAGTCTGCCTGCACAGCTTGTGTTTCTTGTCACTGGCCACGCCAAAAGTTAAAGAGCCTGAGTCAGGTCTCTGACCAGGTGTGCGAGCTGAACAACTTCCATATGTCACTAATGCCATCACTCACACCCCTGTATAAATGTTTAGTTCGGTCGGTTTTCCCTGGAGAAGGCCTAAAGGAAGTTTGGATATGGGAGTGAGTGGCAGGAAGGGGTAGGTTTAGAACACGAAACATCCATCAAAGTCCAACGCAGAGGCCTTGGAGGACACCAGCCTCTCAAGGGTTCAGGATGTGGGTAGGGGTACAGGGAGAGGACACAGAAGAATGATAATTAAGAGAAAGTGCTCATTTTAGATTTTTGATCAATCCCCACACTGGCTTTGCTTCACCCCTAATCCCAACTTCATTCTTTCCCCCCTGAACTTTGAGTCAAAAGTCAAAAGCAAAGAGAACTGGCTTAAAGAAGAGTAAGTATTTGATGTGTGTAACATGGTCCAAATAATTTTGGATCTTGGATCTCTATTTTTAGAGAAAAGATCTCTTCTGTAAGGAGGCTATGTGTGACTGGACCCCAAGAACTCATTCAAAATATACAGTAAATTTATGTCCTGTTCATTTTTTGAATAGTTTGATTCTATAAGTGATCTGTTTTTTGCTCCTTGGCTCCAGTAGGAACTCAGAATTTCTTAGCTTTAGGAAACTTTTCTCCATGTTCCACAGGTCAAATCATTTCTTTCTTGATGGGCATTACAAACTGAAGGCTCCAGACTGACCCAGGTGACTTCACAGAGTGAGTTCTCACATTGGCAGGAGTTGGGGTGGAAATGTGACCAAAATTTCTGCAATCCATCTTAATATCCTTAAAACCTGGTTGGCTCAGCCACTCTGTTCACTGGAAACTTAACATTCTGCTGAAAAGTTACATATTTTCCTTAGCCTTGGGTCCCAAAAGCCAGAATGTGACCTTCCCACTAAACAGCAAATCTTGGCCTGCCAAACATTTTATGAGGGCAAGCATCAAATTTTTCTTTGAAACATTAGAGTGACTATACTTGAATTTCTCCTTCAACAAGGAACATTTGTCTCCTTCATAATGAACTAGACATACATTAAGTCTTGGCACCCAGTAGTCAATGCATGTAGGAATTATAATCCCAAGAAATAAAATAGATTTTTCAAAGTAATTAATACATCTTCTAGTTTTCCCAAAGAATTGGAGGCAGTAAAGACTGACCTTTTTGGGCTAAAATTATTACACACCTCAATACATGTTGTCCTCCAAGGGATTCAGCTTCACAGGCTATACCTGTCCATGCTACTGTTGGAACAAGTATTTTTGGAATTCCCCTTCTGTGTTATAATCTGCACTGGAGATTCAGAAGCAAGACCTTGCTACAAGTGGCCATAACCACCTTGATGGTTAACTCTAGGTGCCAATCTTAAACTCAAATGTCTTTTGGTTATTTCGAAATGCTGAATCCAGCCTCAAGAAGGTAAAGATTTAGCACCATTACAAAGAAGCAATTGGACATGTCACAGGCTCTCAAGGTAATTCCTCAGTGGACTTCAATGTTTTGATTAGTGGAAGCACTATTAGAATGAGGTCATGGGTGACCACCTTGACGGGAACAACCCACATCTGTGTATTACAGTCCTGACGTGTACGTACATGGTACAATAAGGGGGAGGTGTGCACAGGCTAAAGCAAAACCACAAATACAAGTCTGAGATCTATTAATCTATAGAAAGGTCCATAATATGGTGCCTTCCACATCCTCAGTTTACTTGTTACTTCTCTGTGCTCTCTATATTTCTATCATGTTCCAGTCAAGTCACATTGGTCAAGAGGAGGAGTGTACTTTAAAAATATAAAAGGGGACCAACTCCAAAATCAGGAACCCATGAGATCAAAAGTCACAGCAGTACCTAAGAGCCTTTGCCCCATTTATAGCTCCGGTGCTATTTCTGAAGGAGCTAGAACTTTAACACTTTCTCTGTCAGATGTTCACCTGTTGTCTCTCAGTCCCAAGCCTGACACCCTTCTGTACTCTGTAACTCTGTGGCTGGGAGTCTGCAGACTACATTCTCCAGATGCCCTTATCCTCTCTCTTCTGGTTTTTTCTGCCAATGAGAGACACTGATGGGACACTGGAAGGTGGGATGAGGACATGAAAAACTCTATTCCTGCTTCTGGGTTCTGCCATCATCCATCCAGTAACAGCAGATAATCTGGCTCAGACATTTTTCGGAACTCCTGACACCAACCTCATGGTGCCATCTTGGGAGTCCGTGCAATGGCTACCCAGTGACTCCTCCCCTGTACTCCTAGGCTCCAGTAACCTGCCTTCCCCCCTCTGTCCTCCCAATTCTGGGACCAATAGTTATTTCCTGCTATCTTCTGGATTATCTCAGTTTCCCCCTTTTGCTTTTCCAGTCTTCTAACACCTATGTCTCTGTATCAAATTCCCTCCATTTGAAATATCCACCTTGGATTCTGTTTTCCTGACTGTAACCTGACTAACTCACCTTCCAAATGGGTCTCCTGAAAGCAATCATCAAACAATATAAATAAAATAAAATACATTTCAGTGATCTTGTAAGTGCCACCTATTTGCAAGGAAATGATAACATGCTTTAGGAAAACAAAGATGGGAGCAAAGTCTTTGGTTTTTATCTAGTGTCTCAGCTAGAGATACTTTTTCTTTCAGAAGAGTTTTTGTTAGTTTTTGAAGGAATGAGTTCATGTCATAGTTTTCTGTTTGGTTTCTATAGCTTTAACTTGCTCTGGAAAGTTCAGATGGAAATGGTTTGTTGAAACTCCAGTTGCCCTTTCCACTTAAAAACATACCTCACAGGAGGCTGTTGCTTACAGCTACATCATAGAGCTACTTGTCCTGGTTGGGCTGTGCTGTGCATTTCCCACTTCCAGCAACCTGGAGAGCCCCTGAATGTCTGGAGCTGCTCCAGGCGTGGGCCTCTTTGTCTGGAGACTCAGAAGCTCTCCTATGACAGAGCAGCTGACCCTTCTGTCTGTTTCATAGTCACTCTCTGTTCCCCAGTAGAGAAGGAATCACTTCTGTTTTATTTTCTCCAAAAATGAATCTGGAAGCAAAGGTTATTGCTTCCATGTGATAAAGACTATCAACTAGTCACATATGGTAGCTTCTATCTATGGTGGACTTACTACAAGCTAGCATTTCACATATGTTTTCTATTACATTAGTGTTCACAAATAACCTCCATTTGACAGATGAGGAAGACGGGGCTATCTTTTAACCTAATGCATGAGCATTTGCAGACATAAGTGTTCATGAGGGATTTGTTTTGCAGCTGTAGGAGAATTCACAATAATGAAAATTACTGTGTTCCTCTTAGAAGGCTGAATTGAATTACAGAGGAAGGTTGCAGGATCCTTGGCATAGAGAGAGAGGATTATTAAAAGCAAGTCAGATTTGAGGTTGTCTGAAAGTATTAAAAATACATAGAAGAGTGGATTAGAGAATCTATCTCTAATGGGTGAATATTCCTCAAGGAATACAGCTCTAGAGTGGCAAAAGAAAAATATCAATCATATTTTTCTTTATCTCATCTTTAAATTTTTGATTTGTAATGGTATGTTTTATGTTGCGTATAATGTTATTGCTGTAGAATGATTGCATTATTGAACCCAATTCTTTATATCTTTCTGTTTCCAGGCTCTTTGCTGTGTAACTTCACAGTGCTTTCCTAAAGTGGGTGGGCTAATCCGCCCTGCCCTTGACTTGCCATGTGACTTTTTTCGGTCCACGGGTTGAGCACATGACATGAACAGAACATATACCATGCTTGCACGATTGGGCGTGCACTCTCCCTCTCGCACTTTGCTACAGCCATGGGTGCAGGCCTGTTGGGATGAGTCTCTCCCTTCCTCCCAGCTATTAGCCAGCTGAGCATCAGACACGTGAACAAGTGACACCAGCCTCATGAATGAGAAGAATCTTCTACTTGAAACCAGACTAAATTGCTGACTTTTAAACTCATGAGCTAAATAAATGTTTGTTGTTTTAAGCCACTGAGTTTTGGGGTGGATTGTGATGCATCACTCTTGCAACAATAAATAACTAATTTATTTATAAATAACTAAATACACATTTATTGTGGGTATGTGCTTAAAATTTTTTAAATTATGAGATGTATGATCAATAAAATGCTTGGAGATCACCGTGTCAGGGTTGCTTTTAGGATTCCACTTCTCTGATTCTCGTGTCTGTTTAGTCACGTGTAGTTAGATGAGTTTCTTCTAATCATTCACATTTTATCTCAGTGTCATGTTCTCCAAGAGGACTTCTCTGACTACCCCATCAAAGGTAGACTCCACCACCCAAATCACCCTCTATCCTATTATCCCACATAAGCCACAGAAATATCACAGAATTATTTATTATCTGTCTTTCTTCACTAGAATGTAAGCTCTGTAAGGGAAAGAACTTCATCTTTTTTATTTTTCCTTCTATCACTCTGTATTCCTGTGTTTAGAATACTCCTTGGCACATTGGAGGTGCTCAACAACTTCTTGTTTAATGAATGAATAAGATGTATTTTCATAGGTTACATGAGAATTGATCCTAATATTTTGTATCTTTTTACTTTGCATCTATGTACAGGAAACAAGACAGTTTGTCCACATCATTCTGACAGTGTTCTTTTCTCTTTGCTGTTCTGAGAATCTGGACCCTTAGTACACAATGTGCAGTGTAATGAGAAGAATAGAGAAGAACTGGATTAATAATACAGCAGTCCTGGGGAATAGAGCAGTCCTAGAATATTCAAGGAGAATTGCTCCTATTATTTAGATAGATTAGTTTAGAAACAAATACAAGTTATCAGTCTTTTATCTAATTCATAGTGATTTTTACTGGCAAAAATAATTCTCAGAGAATAAAATGGACAAAGGCCATTGGTAAAGAGGAAGGTTGAAATGTGCAAAATTTGGCCTGTGAAAATAGTGCCTGATAGAGACAATAGCTACAAAAGAAAATTCACATTGGTAAAAGCAATAATTGATAGAATTTGTTATGGATAAAAACTGGTGATTTAATTTTTGTTGTAAAATTTATGGAAATCATTTTCCACAATGATTTAACTGAATAATCTCAGTTAACATAAAAGGGGATAATTTGAAACTTTTTAACTCCGTTGCACATTAAACAGATGAGAAAATTAAATGTATTCAATGAATATGCACTTCAGGAATTTTTTTTTAAAGTAAAAGTCTAATATTAGTAGCATAATTCCTATCAAAATCCTATATTAATAAACAAAAAGTTAAAAAGTTCCATGGCTTACTACTGCAGGACTGAAGCGTCCACTAGGTCCAATGCCTGTACATACTAGCCTTTTAAGATATTTGGATGAATGGAAATTTGACTCTAAAACTTTGTATTGTATCATCAGCATGTGGATTTGCTCTTTTGCTTTCCTGCTTTAGTCACGTCCAAAGTAAATGTCATTTGCTGGGGACAAATCATCCTCCATGAGCTCCATTTGTACACACAGTTTATCTACTATGGGGATGACCTTTCATCACTTGGAATACGATCAGAGGAGTGGCATTTGGCTAGCTCATTCCGAAGAGCCTAACGTCATCCTGTCACTGAGGAAAGCTCACAAATCCTGGTGTAGGTACAAACTCTCTGCTTTCCAGGGAAGGAAGACTCATTGAACTGTAGAGCTCTGCAAGTCCAACCTACTCTTAGAGATGAGAAAACAAAGAACAGGAAGTAGGGTGAAGTTTCACAGTTATTTATTCAGGGTCATGATTATTTACCAGTAGAGCTGGGACTAGAATCAGGTGCTCTAAACCTTCCATCATGCCCGCTACACTGTTAGTAGTCCTCAATTGGTTCATCTCCTAAGTTTATACCAGACTGTGGGTTCTGACATACCCAACGTTAATGTTGAAAATATCTCCTTTCTAACGTGGGAAAACTGGTTATATTTGCTTAATGTCTTTCAAGGCACTATAATCTACTTTAAAAAAGAAAAATAAGGAACCAATATACCTAATTATTTTCTGTGTATATATGCCAATTTATTCATTAATCTGAGAAGACCCAACTAACATTTTTTCCAGGGATTAGTCTAGCATACCAGAAACCCAGGTATTTGGGTAAATGGCATAAATTATTATAAAAAGGCAAATACCAAAGAAAACAATGACAAAAATAACTAATACATCTACTGTACAAATTAGGCCAAGCATGCAAAAGAACTAAAGCTTGAAAGAGAGAGTGCTGGGGTGTGGAAGGGGCACAGATTTGGGAGTTGGACAGGCTTGCATTTCAACCTTGGCTCTGTCACGTCCAGTTGTGTGTCTACGTGCAAACTCTCTGTACCTCGATTCCTCTAGCTGTGAAATGGGGCAACAATATCTGGTCTTGACAGAACTTTAGTGAAGTTGGAGCAAGTTGCAGTTTTAGATGCTTCTTTCTGCACTCAGATTGAACTGGAACCAGAGGCCGTGGGATTCCAGTGAGGGTCGACATTATTCAGCCAAGTCTCACCTCCTTCCCTGCATAAATCTCCAGTTCCTTTCATAAACTGAAACCACTCCCTACTTGTTCTCTTTCTTAGAAAATGGTGTTTGAATATGATACTTAAATGAGATAAGCTTTATGAACCATTTAGCATCTTAGGTGTTCAATCAGTGGTAAATAACAACAATGATGCTGAAGCATCCCACTCCCACATCCATGAACAGTGAATCCTCCTTAAAATCTGCTTGTCAAGAGATTTAGAACCAAATCTAGAGATTCCTAGGACCAAGTCCAATTCCTAGGACCAAGTCCAATTCTGGACTATAATAGACTGTTTTCCCAAACCTTTAGCATCCTATTTTGTTAGATAAGGGCAGCGATGGCGGGTGTGTGTGTGTGTGGGGGGGATTAGGGGACAAATTAGGGGACAAAGCCTAGGGGCTGATAACCAAGGAAAGGGAGGAGCCGCTTCTGCCGGGCTGGATGGGCAAGCCAGCGCCGTGGTACTCACCGTAGCCCACCACCAGGAGTGGGGGATGCTGGTGAAGTTGGTGCCGGGCACGTCGTGCTCCACGGAGTAGACGGCGGCGGAGAAGGAGAAGATGCCCATGGAGATGAAGAGCAGCAGGCAGCCCACCTGCTGGTAGCACTGGCGCAGCGTGAAGCCGAAGGCGCGCAGGCCGGTGGAGTGGCGCGCCAGCTTGAGGATGCGGAAGATGCGCATGAGGCGCATGATGCGCAGCACCTGGCCCACCTTGCCCACGCTGCCCACCGTCTTGCCGCGCTGCTGGTCCTCGCCCGTGAAGCACTCGAGCAGCATCTGCAGGTAGAGCGGCAGGATGGCCACCAGGTCCACCAGGTTGAGGGCGCTGCGCGCGAAGCGCCGCAGGTCGGGCGTGGAGACGAGGCGCAGCAGGTACTCGAGCGTGAAGAAGGCGATGCACAGCATCTCCACGTCCTCCAGCAGGGGCCGCAGGCCGCCGCCGCCCGCGCCCGGCCCCGCCCGCTGCTGCATCTCCTCCACGGTGTTGAGCGCCAGCGCCACGACGGAGATGAGCACGAAGAGGCTGGAGGCCACGCCGATGGCCTTGGCGGCCACCGACGAGAAGGGCTTCTCCATGAGGTTCCAGAGGCGGCGGCGCTGCGGCCCGTAGAAGCGCATGTCGCGGAAGAGCTCCTCGGCCTCCTCGGCCTGCGCCTGGGCGCGCAGCTCGCGCTGGATCTTGAGCTGCTCGCTCAGCTCGTCGCGCCGCTCCTCGAAGGCGATGCGGCAGCAGCGCGGCGTGTACTTGAGCCGCACGCCCCAGTAGCCCAGCTCCTCCAGGAAGCTGCGCGGGCACAGCTCGTCCTGCACCAGCAGCACCCCTGACGCGTAGAAGTTGTAGACCAGCTGGAAGACGGCCGGGTCGCGGTCGAAGAAGTACTCGTCCCTTTGCTCCTCGTAGTCGTCGCACAGGCCCAGCTGGCGGCTGCGGCTGGTGGAGGTGGCCAGGCGGCCCAGGCGCGTCTTGGGGTGGCCGGCCAGCTCGCAGCAGTCCAGGCGGTAGCTGTGGCCGCCCACGTTCACGTTCAGCGTGGACGACGGGGTCGGGCTGGCTCTGTGGACGGTCGGCGGAGGGGTGGTGTCTTCCTCTGGCTGCAGGTCCTCCTCGGCGAGCTCGTCCTGCCCCGGCTCCTCCTCCTCCACCCCGTCCTCCTCGTCGTCGATGTAGTAGTTATAGGTGCCCTCCGGCCACTGTGGGATGCTGGCCTGGGAGCCCGAACGGGCTCTCTCGGAGCAGAAGCTGATGCGGCGTTGGCTGTCCCCTGAGTGGGGCTCGTGCTCATCCTCCACGGTGTGCCAGGGCTTGTAGCTCCAAGACCGTCTCCTGTCGCCCTGTTTCAGCATGGCTGCGGGAGGTGGACCCCTTGCTTTTTCTCTTTTGGCTGTACGAGGGTTCTCAGCCTGCTCACTGACAGTGGGAGGACGGATCACGGGCCCTGCACTGTCTCAGAGACACCAGCCTGGGCCCCCATGCCTAGGGTCCTAGGCATGGCCCTCAGAGCTGCCCCTCCCCAGGCCCGGGCAGCCCAGCCCAGCCGGCGGCGTCTGCTCACGGTCAGCAGAGGGCTGTTGACTGCTCCAATCTTGCTGATAGAGAAGCAGCAAGTGTTTGGACGGATTTAGAGCCTCTTAGCCTGTTTCCTTCCCCACCCCCTCCACTCTGTGATGTAGAAGATTATGTGGTCTTAAATCTCTAGATAATCAGAAGAAGGCAGAGATTATTGCTAATAAAAATGTCGGTCAACCTTGCCCTTAGGAAGTGCTCGGGTTGTGTGCTGAGATGAAATCAACTGAATTAGCTATAATGCATGGATGTCTGTATCTTCACACTTAATGATTGAGATTGCAGGCTCTGCCCAGGTAAAGCCACCACTAACAGGGATGACAAAGAGCAGCAGAATGCTCAAAGCTGACTTCATGACAAATTAGCTTCCTTCTCAGCATAACTCTTTGTTTAGATCACATAAGATCTTTAATGATCACCTTCTAATCCATTCACATCGTATTTTTTCCAAATGGATTCTTTGCAGCACTGCTCTAGAGTCCAGTCAAATCTGTCAGTTTCTGCTTCTTTCTCTCTCTCCTCCCTTTCCCTTAATGGCTTAGGACAGTTTCAAGATAGAATCCCAAAGCTAGTTGGAAGATGTTTCTATGGACTTGCAGTCCTACTCAGCTTCGTTAGGCCATTTTTAAAGGTGGCCAGACTTCCTTCCAAGGAAAAAGTCTTCATCATCCTTCAGAACATCACTTAAAAGAAAAAACAACAAAAAACCCAAATCCTTTTCATGATTAAGGCCCTGTGCTAATGCTGGAGATGCAAACACAGTGGAGACCGTGTAGCGTGTAAGGAGCTCATGGTTTTGCTGGTGAAATAAATATACAAGAACAAGTAAAAAGTACAGGAGGAGCAGAGAAGAGAAAAGGATTTGCTTTGATCAGGGAATTAGGCTTTTGATTTGATTTATTTTGAATAGGTAATATGCGTTCATGATAAAAAATTCAAAAAGTATAACAGTAGAAAGTTTCTTTCTCTCCCAACCCTAACCTCCAGCCATCAAGGTGTGCCTCGGAGGTAGCAACCACCGTTAACTAGTTTTTGGCTTTCCTTCCAGAAATTTTCTAAACATATACAAGCAAAAACCTATCTCCAACTATTATCTGAATATCTTTTTGTTATGAATACAAATCATAGATTGCTATGTACTTTGCTTTTCCCAATTAACCATGTATTTTATTTTATTTATTTATTTATTTTAAAAGATGACCAGTAAGGGGATCTTAACACTTGACTTGGTGTTGTCAGCATCACGTTCTCCCAAGTGAGCTAACCGGCCATCCCTATATAGGGATCCGAACCCGTGGCCTTGGTGTTATCAGAGCCACACTCTCCCAAGTGAGCCACGGGCCAGCCCTTAGCCATGTATTTCAGAGGTGGTTTTATATCTAAAGACAAACATCTGCCTTATCTTGAAAATAGCCAGTTAGCAGTTTGATAGTGATAGACATTCAGGTTGTTTTCTATTTTTGCTCTTGTAAATAATGGTGCAATGGAAAACCTTATACATAGTTTACACGTTCAAAATTTATGAAGGATAAATTGTTAAGGTGGAATTAGAAGGTCAAAGACTACACATTCGTAATTTGGATTGATAGTGCCAAATATCTCTCCATGAAAATTTTATCAATTTATAGCTTACCATCAATGAACAAGAATGTATTATCAAACTTTTTGAACTGTGCCGGTGTTATAGGTGAAAATATGTGGGTTAATTTTAATTTGTATTTCTGTTGTACTTTGCCCATATTTTCCGTTGAATGTTGGTTTTTTTCTTATTGATTTGTAGGAGAGCATAATATATTATGAAAATAGACCCTTTACCTGTGATATGGATTGCAATATTTTTCCCCTAATTTTATCCTTTGCTGAATTTTTTTTCACATAAAATTCTTATTTTATGATTTCCGGGTGTTATGTCATATTAGAAAAGTCTTCACCACTCGGTAATTCTTAAAAGTTTTCTCCTAATAGTTTTATTTTTCACATTTAAGGATTTGATCTGTCAGTAATTAATTTTGCTGTTAAGAGTGAAGTAGGGACCCAAGTTTAACAAGAAAAACTTGCAAAACCAAGTTTTTATCCAGATGTCCTAAAACATTAATTGAATAATCCATCTTTTCCTCACTGATTTAGTGCTATCTCTATCACGTTTTTAACTGTGCTTCCAAGTGTTGAGACAGGTAACAGTAGCTACAGGATCTGCACCTGCTAGTATAACCCGCGCTGATGTTGTTTAGCGTCCAACAGGACTCAGACCTACAAGCTTATGATAAAGCTTCTTACCAGGCTTAGCCTTTAAGTTCCTAAATGTATTTCTAGTATTCCCTTATTGGCATACAATGTTGATGTTGTTTCTCTGGCTGCACAGATAACCATTTTCCTAGTCCATCTTTTCTTTTATTGTGCTGAGAACTGTCTTAATAATTTTTGCTTTTTTTTTTTTTTGTCTTTTTTTTTTTCATGACTGGCAACGGATCGCAACCCTCAGTGTCGCGCCCATACCGGACCGGGACCGGCAACGGGATCGCAACCCTCGGTGTTGCGCCCGCACCTCGCTCAGCCAGTAAGCGGCCGGTCTGTATGTGGGATCCGAACCCTCGGCGGGAGCGCCACTGCGCTCCCAAGCGGCACACTGTAGCAGTGCACCACTGGGCCGGTCCTGTCTTAATAGTTTTTGAATGTTACATAAATTCACCTTTTCTCTTCAGAATCAACTATACTATTATAAAAAGTAAAAGCATCTCCACTTTCATATTTTGAGTTTTCTCTCTCTTTATTGAAGTCATATACTACTACTTATCCAGACTTCCAACATTCTCAAGGCTTTTGTACTTAAAAACTAAGGAGTTAGTAATGTTTGTAAGGCACTGCATAGCTAAACACAGACACCACAGCCATGCAGTAGATTGAGGAATATTGCCTTGCGAGACCACACATAAGGGGCTATTACACACCAAATACATCTGCTGGTGTGGGCATGTTGCTTGGATTTTGCCTGGTGCTTATGTATGTAAGTGCAATGGTAGATGAGTATCCATATATGGAAACATTTTCTAATAAAGAGAACTGTCCAGTAATGGGATGTGTTGGTTCATTAAGTGGGAGGTGCCTTCTCTCTACCTGCAGTTAGGAATCTATAGAGCAGGCTGCAAGGGAGACCTGCACAGGGTGGAATGTAGGACTGGATGATCTTCAGGTCCCCTTCCGCCTTTTAATTATTGAGATTCGAAGACTTTGCTTGATGTTTTCTTTGTTTTGAAGTCCCTTCTGTCCTTCTCCTTAAATCCTTGGTTTTCAAAAGTCAGCTCAGATATCGTCCTCCTCTTCCAGTGATCCTTCCCTGATGTTTTTCTGTATTTCTCCAAGGCAGATTAGCTACCCTTTCTCAGTGTTCTCATTTAATATAGAGCATAGCACTAACTTACAATATCAGACATTTATTTTAACTAAAAGCGATTAAGACTTCTTCCATATAGAAGTTACATATGTGCATTATTGAAAAACTTAAAAATAGAGTTAAATACTAATAATTGGTGCAATAATAATAGTAACTAGAATGTTCAGATGTGTACTATGTTAATGCTCACACTAAAGCGTAGGTGCTATTATAACTCCTGTTTTACAGATGAGAAAACTGAGACATGGAGAAGTTAAGTGTCTGTTTCACAGTAGCTTAGCTAGAATATCATTGCTATTATTACTATTTGCTAATTGATAGGTGAAAATAGCATTATATTTTTGCTTTAACCAAATCTATATTAATGATTCATTTATATGTTTTCCACTGGCTTCTAAAGTCCTCAAGAGTATGGACAATCATGTCTCTGTGGTCCCAGCATCAAGCAGAGGGTCTGGTATGCAGCAGATTAAAAAAAAATATTGAAGGGATAGCCAAGATCTCTCTGCATTACTTCTTCCAAGTGCATGTGAATCTATAATTACCTCAAAATAAAAAGTTAAATTTATTGCTCTGCATTTACATAGCTCTAAGCTCCAAGCCCCATTAAAAGGCAAGAAAACTAGCAAATTTTGAGGAACAGTGGTTGGGAGTCTCTCTCATTATTTATTGGTGATAGAGATTTATAGGCAGAATCTTACAGTAGAAAGAGCACTGGAATGCAGACTCGATTTTGCATTCTGGTTTCAAAACTTTGAGCAAATTACCTAGCCTCTTCTAGTCTCATCTGTAAAATGGGGTACTGGAGCATTTATTGCTAATATAAAACAAAAATACCCTCTACTTTATCTTCACTTGGCCTGCCTATGCCCAAACCCTGGCATATAACAGGTGCTCATCAAAATATAGTCATCTCCCCCTCATCTAGCCACCTCAGAACACAATTCATGATGGTATGCCCACAACACACAAATGTCTTCATTTTTAGCACCTGTAGAGTTTCTCAGAACAGAAATAATAGTCACATTCACAGCTCACCTTTAGAATTAATTTCTTTATGTTAAGCCAACATTGACTACTAGAACTTTCCATGTTGATAGAAGTGTTTTTATAGCTTAAAACGTGAATAGTGCCACTGAAGAATAAAATTTTAAATTTTATCTAATTTTAATTAGTTTATATTTAAATTTAAATAGCCATATGTGACTAGTGGCTACCATATTGGTCAAGGCAGTGTTGAGGTATTATCTGTGTCTGGATTGGTCTCTTTTAAATATGCAGAGACCCAGGGAAAACTGAACATTAACCTTTTAGTCAAATGAGTTTGCCAGCAGAAACTGGCTTATCACTTCTAAGACTAAAAGGGAAGTGACAAGGAGAAAGTAATTTTGATTAGACAGTGAAAGGGGTGATGAGACGGGATTAAGAAGCCTGAGTAGGTAGAGGGCAGGCTTGGGAATGGGGGATTTCAGAAGGAAATCAGGATGGCTCGAGGAGAGTTTAGTATTAAAAAGGGGAAACTAAGGCAAATGGTAGAAACAACAGGGGGGCTGAAAACAAACACGGTTACAAATTTATCCAGAAAGATGAGGGTAGGGATGG